AATATGGATTTTAAAGTAGACACGATGCTTTGTATTACGCCTTAACATGTCTAAGATGGGGGGGGGGGGGTAAGAACTTTGTAATAGCAGTAATATAATTGACCTGATATCTTCAAGGAAGTAAATAAAGATAACTTTTTCACAATCTCTCTATCTTTCTGATAAGCGACAATAACTCAGAACTCAGTCTGTACAGCAGATTTTATCTTTCAATTTTGAAGTCAACATAACAAATGTTCAGCTATTGGGGAATACAGCTTGCCATCGACCTATTAATTGGAAAATATTTAGATTAAATGTCTCTGGCAAAGGGTTAGCATACACACATCTGCAGCACATCCCCTCCCTCATTATACTTTAGCAATTTTTGAAAAATAAGTTCCATGATTAAAAATAAATATATAATTATGTTAATTCAAATCCATTTTAATTTAACTTTTCACTTCTTTTTATGTCCAAAGTGTACATGTTAATTTATTTTTTGCTTATAACATCCATTTTACTCTCTGATACCAGAATGCCTGCTATTTTCAGTCACCCCCTTCACCAGCACTGTCATTTATAATTACTTGTCTTCCTTTTAATTTTATAGAATGCTTTATCTTGAAAAATGTGTCTGAACTTTATTCTTAGTTCCAATTCCCTGGCGGCCTCAGTTTATTCACAGTAGTTTATAATACAATCTCGGACTCAAGGGAATCTTCCTTTTCCATATGAGATCCAGAACCACCTTTCATCAAGTTCCAACTAATATTTTCAAGGATGTTTAATTTCCAGAAATAGAAGACTCAATTCTATTCATAAATCCTTTTTAAGTTAACACTGAGACTGCCTCTCCAGGTTAATAAATACATTTTGAAATCAGCCTATAGAAAAGGTCAGAATCTTCCAAATGTTTCTGAGGGCTTTTCTGCATTTGAACGTTCAGGCGTTAGTCTCCTAGGTGTAGACCAGCTGGAAATGAAGCTGGCTTAAGAAATCCTTTCCCAGATTTCAATTCTTTCCTCCATTCTGGCCATTGTGATAGCCAGGTGGTTGTTATTTTATTTGTTTGTTTGTTAATTTATTTTTGGGTGGCTGTTCACCTGGCTCCCAATGCATGGATTCCTCTGCTTCTTTCCCCCTCCTGTCCACACCAGAAAAGCAAGCAGCAATTGCTTCCCCTACAGTGGGCATGTCTTTTGAGGGCTGGTTAAAAACAAACAAAAAACCCCAGAACATGTTTACAGTTCTTCTTCTCACTTGGATTACAAAGTCCAGCTTTTCCTGGCAGGCAGCCCAGTACAAAATGGCCACTGAAGGCTGAGAGCACTAGAGCATACACCAGCCAACTGGTACAAGGGCATTTATTTAAGATAAAAGGTACTGCAGCAGGTGGACTGGGTTGCTCCAGTTGTGCCAGCAAAACTTTGCTGAGAGGACAAAACTCAGTGGAGATCACCTTTCCGGCATGATGAAGGTAGGGAGAACATGATGTTATCCATTCCTGCCTTCTGACTGTGGTGGATGGCCCATCCTGGAGCTGGGGCAAGCACAAAGTGCAGATTACTCCTAACTCTTCCTTACTAGCTGCCTTGCACACAAAATCCAACCCAGCATATTCAATGAGCAAGAGAATGTGGCTCCAGTTGAATAACTGAGTGAATGTTCATTACAATAAAGTAAGACAAACAATGGATAAACAGGAGACCTAGGACTGGGTAGCTTAGAAGGTTTTTGGGGATGTCTTCTGATAAGACCTTCTCATTCATGGATTTTTTTATGGAGACATGGGCAGATGATGTTATCTTCCTTTTGAAACATTCCCATATCTTTTCATGATTTCTTCCATCCTTTTATGGGCATACAGTGACACATACAAGCCATTCAGGAAGAGCTACAATATTTGCAAATCCCTTTAGCAGGTAGTGCTAAGATCCAGGCATCTGAAATCCTCCTTGAACCAGGCCCCATATAGAGAGCACTGAACCTTTGGACAGCCTTTGCTATAGGTGCTTTCCATACGGGTACCATTCCCATCAGCCCCAGTCAGATAGCCAGTAGTGAGGGGGAATGGAAGTTTTAGTCTGAAAAGCACCATGTTGGAGAAGCTTGATCAGCTGATCCCTAACTTCTATGTATAGATAGATTTTCAGCCCATATATGGAAGCCCTATATATCATGCACAGAAGTTCCTTTTAGTAGCTCCAAGGAAACTTTAGTGTACCTAATTCTGTTTTGGATTGATACAGAAACAGGTCTATTTCTTCACGTGACTGGAGAGTATAAGGTTATCAGAATTTATTTCAATCAAAAATAAGTGCATTTGTTTTTCCTTCATAACTGAACAGCGTTCCTCATATATCAATACTAAATATTAATTTTTATAAACTTCTGTACCCCATTTTTACAAGTTACTGAAAATCCATGCACACATTTATCATTTTCTACAAGGTGTACTGCTACACTCATCTTCTATTGTGACCGTGGTAAACTCCTACTACCTGATCGTCATATTTGTAGAAGCCGCTCAGATTTATTGTGCATGTTAGAAGCTGCCTATGGTCAGCTAGCTGGGTGTGGCTGTTTTTCATATTTTTAGAAGCGTGACAACTTGCCTGTAGAGATATTTTTTTAAATCAGCATTTCTAAAGAAGATATTTCACCTTCCAAAGGAAATAGTACAGTCCAGAATTCTTTCAGTTCATTCTAGATAATGTGTGGAATTGCTTTGTGACAGCTGTGTGTGTGTTATGTGTGTCCTTTTAAAGGACTTCATTATTACAAAAAAAATAATATACTGGCTTTGAAACACTGAGGCTTTGAATCACAAATTCATTCCTCATGTAGTCAGATGACCAGATGATGGGATTAAGTAGAAAGGATTTTAAACATGTTTTGTTTATGAATCTCTTTGAAACAACTCTGTAGCTAATACTAAATTAAGTGTCTCTTTGGTGTAACCCAAGATAATAATATTTCATTACAGGCTTAATACCAGTCCTTACATTGTCTGAGCCAGTTCTACCTCCTGGGCATGCAATTGAATTATTGAGTTGGATGAAAAGGTTTCATAGAGATCTACAGATCTGGCACAAAATCACAGCTTTGGAGAAACACCTATAGCTGCTCATTTCAGTTTTCTTCCCTAAATTAGAATAGTTAGTTGTTTACATACTGCTCAGTAAACAAAAACAAACCCAAAATAATCCCATACTTACTTTGAAAGGGTACCAATGTGATTTCTTTGTCATATTTGTTTTGGACCAAGAATTCTAGATTTTAGACAATTAATATATTGATAAAAGGACATCATGTTTTGAAAAAAATAATTTTAAAGAAAAATCAATTTAATCACGAAGAGGTACTACTTTATGGTTGAATCTCATTAGTTTTGGTAGCAATGAGCTTATTTATCTATCTTATATATAACTAAATGGGAAAACTACTAGACAGACTATTCATTTTCTTTTCTAAATAGATGCCCAGTGAGTTGGTTAATATGAATTATTTTTGTTCATACAGTTAACCTTATCTTAAGAGATTTGTTAACTAAAGAGACCGTGCAAAGCTCCCCAAAGTTCTGTCCACTGTTCTCCCTGCTCCAGATACACACCAACCATTTTTTAGGAAATCTTTTATAAAAATAGCTTAAGAACTTTTTAAATTCTGCAGAAAGAAGATTAATGCACAACATCTGCTTCCTTTTGTTCTACACTATTCATTCGAAATATCTGAATAAAAAGCATTTAGCACTAAATAAAGCTGTTCCTTCTATGACCATGAGTTTCATTAAACACCCAAGATTTGCAGAAAAATAGATGAATGCAGGCTTTAACTCAATTCATCACAACAGGGAAATATAATTTACCAACTTGTTAATTGTAATTTATCTTAAATTGGTTTATCTGTAAGGAAACCTTACTTTTTTCAACACAATACATTTTAAATGCTACAAACATATTTAGAATATTTCTTAGATTTTTAGTTAAAAATGAAATGGGTAAATAATAATCTTCCACCTCTTGGCTTATCAAGTGTTAGTGAAAGTTGTTTGCACTGGCTTAAAAATGTTAAAAGCAATTTAAAGTTGCAACTCTACATCTATACATTTAGAGATGTAAATCCCATTAACCTCAGGGAATTTACTTTTAATAAACTTGTATCAAATTGCATTATAATGATAGTTCAGCACAAAAAAAAAGCATTAAAGTGAAAAGATATAGCAGCTATCTCACTTGGAAAGTTAACTAACTCATCCTGTTTCACTTGTAGCTTTAAGTGATGATTCTAAGCAATCAAGGGTGATTTCCTTGGCTTGTCACTGTAAATTAGTCATAATCTTTTCCTTGATTACATTTCAGTCACTTTAAAACAACTGCAGCCCATGTTTGGCTTCAGATCATACAACTGAATCTCTAGAGATGTTCAGAAAGGCACTTACCTGTCCGCAGAGAGAGCCATGAGGGTGAAGACTGACACCCCCACTGAAGTAAGCTGGATAAAAGGGATAAGTTTACATCCAACTCGACCAAAGAGCCATTCAGGAGACAAGAATCTACTAGCATCCACAGGAACACAGGTGATCAAAAGAAGCAAGTCTCCAAAAGCCAGACTGGAAATGAACAAATTAGGGACATTTCTCATAGACTTTACTGTACAAAAGATTTTGATCAGGGTGATATTGCCAACCAGCCCAATCAAAATGATGATCCCATAAATAGCAGGAATTGCATATAGGAATCTGTAATAAAACAAGTCCTCACCCGAGAGAGAGAAATTAGTATGTTGATCAGTAGAGACATTACAAAGAATAAAGTCACTGAATTCCGTATCTAGAAAAATGCAATCCTCAGCCATTCTCGGGATTTGGCTAGAAAATGGATGCTCAGTTTAAACGGAAAAAGCATGTGCAAATTATTTTGAGTTGTTTTTCTTCTTCCTCAATAATTATTGGTAGAAGCGATATATGTGATGTCGCTTATAATGAAAGGAAAGACACTCATAATAAATATGCTCATTCGAATGAGCAAGTATCAACATAGTATCATTTCTAAAACTCTTCTCTTTCTGTATGAGGATGGTGAATAAATATTTTCTTAGTTTGTCAAGAGCAAGAGATGCCATTGATGCAAAGCGATCCAGGTCCAAGATCTATGCAGTTTTCACTGCCAAAATATACAGATCATATTTTGCAAGAACAGGTGGTTCTTGCTGCCTTCCTCATCTTTTCAGCCTGCACTGTAGGCTGCCTTTACAGCAAAAGTAAGGAGCAGCTCTTTTAAACACACAAATGCTAGAGGCAGGATCTTTGGAACGTCAGCAGTGCTTGCTCGACTTTGCACAATATTGCAAGCTTCCTTGAATGGGTACAATAGATGTTGGAAATTTGCTGCCTGTTTTTTGGGGCATGCCAGCCACCTACTGGAGAACTTCATCACTGCCCCACCAAATAGAGTCCTGAATCTGTTGGAAATATTTTTGTTTTACTGTTTCTCTGTAGGATGTATACATGAAAAAAGCCTCACAATCTTTATAGCTTAAGGGAAAAGAAAGAAAGAAGAAATAAGGTGATGCTTTACAAGTGTGATTTAGCCAAAGGCTCAGACTGTTCAGTTGAAGGATGCAGATGATATATAGCTGGGTAAATCCATGGAAGGAAAACTGATTTTCCTGATATTGTTGACTTCTAGTTCCTATCAGCTTTATCTAACAGAGTCAATGGCCAGAAATGATGAGAACAGGAGCAATTTATGAAGGAGTAAGCCCCACTGAATAGGAGGTAACTCCTTTCCAGCAAACAAGCTGAATTTCACATCTGTTTATTTGCCTAGTGTTATTTTGGGGGAGGGCATTATTTACTGCAATTACTGCATCTGGTGCCCCAAATAGGATTGCTTCTGAAATTATTTCTCTCAGGATTGCATTACGGATACAATTATTTCTAAAAACTGCAGATGGTAAGCAGGTACTAAAAAGCAGCAACTTAAGAACTCCTCCAAAATTAAATCAGAAAAGATCAATATCAGGAAGAATTTGAATTATTTTTCTCAGATGACAGGAGACTCATAAATATTAAGTTTTGCCAGACTCGGTGGCTCCACATCACCGAAAATGCCTATAAACTCCCCATTGCAAAAACACCACCTCTTGTAAGTGACAATAGAAAGAAGAAAGGGAGTTTTGTCTTTTTCCAGGTGCAAAGAATATTTTTTTGCAGTAACCCTTTGAGAAGTTAATCTTCTATGTCATGTCATTCAAGCATTTTCACTGAAAGTCCCAGTGAAGCAAAGGAATGGCAGTCCTCTTTCTTTCTTTCCATGTGTGCTGGGGTCTGCTCTTACTGTTGCTTTTAGGGAGAGGCAGAGCTGGGGAGTTGAAGGATTGCTGGTGAGCAGACGAAGCAGGAAAACCGGCAGTTTTCTTGCAGTTAGATTTTAACTTCAGCCCAAAAGTACAGTCAAAGCACTGATACATCTGTATAAGAATGTCAGCAGATCTTGAATTTAAAAAAAAAAAAAATCACCAGGAGACCAAAAGGAAACCATTTGTCAATGTTGCTTTACCTATTTGGTCACAAATGCATTTTACCAGCTGTTACTTGACTAACACTGCAACATTTACTCTGCTATTAAAGTTGCAGGTTGAGTTACCATTTATATTCTGCTCTGATTCTCAACAATGTTGGTTTTAGGACAAAAGATCTTATGACATAAATAGCTTCGTAGAAGATTTTAAACATTTCTTTTCATGGGATCTTTGATCCAAAAACGGATTGTTCTCAAGAGGACTTTAAAGTCTCTCTTTTGGGAACTGAATTTGTAGAAATACAGTGTATGTCACAGAGGCAGCCGTAAACAACAATTGCACAACTCAGAAGTGCAGAGCTAAGACATTACAGAAAAACAGTGTATTAGTATCAGTTTGGATACAGCTCTGACTTGGAACCAAAAGGAATTTAACATATTGCAAGGAACATACTATTATTCCTCATGACATGAGTAAGTTTTTAGTAAATATCAGCCTCCTCACTATTCCCAAGATTTCCATACCATGAAAATTTCAGTATGGGGAAAAGAGGATGTAGCTTTAATGCAGGCAGCTTTACCTTCAATGCACAGTGAATTATATTAGCAGGACTTTCCAATCAAACTGCTTTAGGAGGGATGTTGAATTAATGCAATACATTATTTTTCTAGAATTTGGTGGGTTTTGTTAGTTTTGTTTTCCAGAAATAATGGTTTGGTGGAGTTTATGGGATCTTGGAGTACAGTTTTGGATGTTGGGAAAATGCTGAGTAATTCTCTGTCTTCTACCAAATCCCTGCATATTGTACTAGCCATGACTAGGTGCTAATTAAATTTTAAACTGTGTTCAGTTTACATTAATCTGTTCAGTTCTTGTCTGTGTCTGTGTCTCTTTCTCTCTTTGGTGCCTTCGAGTCAGTGTTGACTTAGGGCGACTGTCTGGACAAGTCCCTGCAGTTTTCTTGGCAGGTTTTTTTGGAAGTGGTTTGCCATTGCCTTCTTCCTAGGGCTGATAGAGAGTGACTGGCCCAAGGTCACCCAGCTGGCTTTGCGCTTAAGGCGGGACTAGAACTCATGATCTCCCAATTCCTAGACTGATGCCTTAACCACTATGCCAAACTGGCTGTCTTGTGTCATTACCACCTCATAAATGAGCAACAGGAAGGATGGCATCGGTTCTTGCAGAAGGACTGTGTGTCAACCTGCTGCATCTGTGCTAAATAAGCTTCAGAAGGCCTTCATTTGAAGTGGATACAATCTACTTCAGAATAATCCTACTTAGATTCAAGTATAATTCTAATGGATATATCTGAATCAATTCAAATTAAATTGGAGTTTGTCTGAATCCACTGCACACTTTTATTATAACCCATCATTCTGTTCTCGCCAAGGACAAATACCTATGAGAAGGTGATAAACAGGATGAGTGTCATAGCATCAAGCTGTTCATGTTCCCTAGAAATAGCATAGACACATTACGTTTCCTGCTACCCTGCATTTTCCAGCATAAATATTTTCATTTATAAAACAAGTCTTTGCTTTCAAAAAGAAGTGAGCCTATAAAGGCTGCCATGGATGATTTCAATTCAGTTCAGAAAATAATTGAGGTCTGGCCAGTCACAAAGATCCCTTTTATAGGAAGCAAATTCACCAGTCTAATCTAGGCTGTCTCAGCGTGAGTGCTTCTTGAAGGCAGGAATGCCCTGTGTTGTCCTCTATATCAAAAGTAGTGTTGTACTGGCACTAGCAGAGCTGTCCAGTTTCCCTGTTGTGCTTCAATTCATTGTACGTAAACACCTTCACTCCAACTGTCACTCCTGTGTACTGGGACAGGAATGCTCCGTCCCCTACGATGATTGACCATTGCCCTCAAAGTCCATTTTGTTCTGTCCCACTGAGCTTCTGTACTGCCTGCCCACTTCTGAAGGGACCTCAGCTACTGAACCTATATTATCTTTTTCCTCCTTTTTTCAGTGGACCTTTTTATTTCCCTTGCTAAGTTAACTAATGAAACGGTGGACCTTTCCTTTGTTTTAAACCAGGTGAAACTGACAAAAATTCTGCCATGTTCTTCTTTTAGCTCAGGGAACAGTAAGAATGGTAAAAAGGAGGTAGAGAAGATAGAGGAGGAAAGGTTCAAGTACATGGAAGAATCAGCAGACAGCAGCTCATTAAAAAAAAGTCTATCAATGGAAACCGCATGTCCTCAAAGACCAGCCCATGGAAATGAAGGATACTTCCTTTCCTGGCATGGGTGGATCAGTGGCAAAGTGTTCTGAATTTCGGGGAGATATTAGTTTCTCCCCTGCCATGGACAGATCATTCCCTGGTGAGCCTCCAATTCCCTGGTGAGCCTCCCTTTCCACAGGGAGGCAGGGCTTAGTCAAACTAATGGACCCAATTGGGTTCCAGAGGGAGCTTGGATGTTCTGGAAAGTCTGCTACTTGGTCCAACCGAAGCCTTGGTGGCTGCTTGGAATGGTAGAGTGGTTGTGGCTTTGGATCAGATGGCACATGAGCAGGCTTTCTGTGCCCATGGTTCCTGATACACTCCATGCTATACAGAAGAGTTGAGAGAACTTAAAAGGTCTAAGAAATGCCTAGAGTGCCACTGGCAAAAGACAAGGAGCAAAGACGACCAAGCACGAGCTCGTGGTGGTGAAGGCGGTGAAATGTAATTATTTCTCTGCCCTTATTGCATCCGCAGATAGTCATCCAGTGGCCCTATTTCGGGTGACTTGGTCCCTCCTTGGAGGAAATAATACTGAGGTTTACCTACAGGGTCATTGTGAAGAATATGCTGTACATCTAGCAGATAAAATCGCTCTTTTTGCTCTATGTTGGACTCTGGCCTTAAAGCAGAGTCTGTGGAGGTTATGGGGGCTAAGTGTTGTACAGTTATCTGGGAGGAGTTTGAGGCCATTAAACCAGAGGAAGTGGACAGGGACCTTGCAGCTGCTAGTTCATCTGCTTGTGTATTAGATTTGTTCTTAGAGCTGCGCAGGAGGGGATGCCTGATTGGGTCTGGGTGGTGGTTCATTCCTCCTTGAGAGAAGGGATGGTTCTGCTGGCTCTTAAGGAGACGGTCGTGCGCCCTCTCCTCAAGGGGCCATCGCTCAATCCAACCAACCTGGACAGTTTTTGTCCACTTTCCAACTTTCCCTTTTTAGGGAAGGTTGTGGAGAGGTCAGTTGCATGGCAGCTTCAGAGGATCCTGGATGAAGTGGATTATCTGGACCCCTTTCAGTCAGGGTTCAGGCCAGGGTTTGGGACTGAGATGGCACTGATCACACTCTTGGATGACCTCTGGCAGAAAGGGGATGGGGGTAGTGCATCCATCCTTGCTCCTCTTGACCTTTCAGTGGCTTTCGATACCATCAATCATCGTATCCTTCTGGACACACTTTGGGAATTGGGGGTGGGTGGCACTGTGTTGTGCTGGTTCTCCTCTTTCCTCCAGGGTCAGTTCCAGTCAGTGTTGATGGGAGGGAGAGATCCAGCCCGCAGCCTCTATTTTGTGGGGTAACTCAGGGCTCGGTTCTCTTGCCTCTCCTGTTAAACATCTACATGAGGCTGCTGGGTGAGGTGATCCATCAATTTGGGGTGAGGTATTATCATTATGCTGATGATACTCAGCATTATATCTCTACCCAAGCCCTCTGTGTGATGCCATGGATGTCCTGTCCCAGTGCCTGAGGGCTGTAGGGGTCTGGATGGGG